GGGTGTGGGTGTGGGTTGTGGGTGTGGGTGTGGGTGTGTGGTGTGTGGTGTGTGTGGTGTGGGTGTGGGTGTGGGTGTGGGTGTGGGTGTGGGTGTGGGTGTGGGTGTGGGTGTGGGTGTGGGTGTGTGTGTGTGTGTGTGTGTGTGTGTGTGTGTGTGTGTGTGTGTGTGTGTGTGTGTGCGTGCTTCTGTCGCCCGAGCGGGCGCACGCGGGGGGTGGGCGAGCGTTTGTGTGTGGGTGCTATGTTCCAGGCTGAACAAAACCGGCAATCACAAAACACGTGAAACATCTTCTTTTGGTTCTGCTGACGTGGCGCAATGCGGCGCTGCAGCTCTCGGATTCTGTGCTGTGTGTGTTTCCGTGAGACGGGTTGGAGCTTAAAACTTCCTGAGCGAAGCTTGCAAACACGGATGGCTTGGTTCCAAGCCGCTCCCACTTCAACAGCACGCCTTCGAACGGCGACCAATCTGGTGAACTCCAACATGGCATCAGTGCTGCCCACTCTGATATCTCAGCTGGCATCTCGAGGCTTGCTTTTTGGAGCGTTTCTTGGTAAATTTTGAGGAAGCTCAGCTACGCGCTGATTACGCCACTCGAGTGTCCTCCATGCCTTGCCATCTCAGCACGGCCTTGAGGGCGCGCTGGGTGAGGCGGTGTGGGTCGTCCAGGCCGTTGAGGCCCAGGCACCGCGTGGGACCGAGGTGCTGGCTTTTCCCCCCACAGCCCGGGGCCGACTTCTGGGATCCCAAGGCCTCGGTCTGGTGCTGCTCGTGCCCAGGCCAAAGGCACTCGTGGAAGTACCTGGCCGGCTGCCAGCCCCGCGGATACTGGCTGCGCCGGTTCCAGCAGCTCTCCTCATCCACATCCAACCAAACTAGGCCGTTCAACACCTGGAAGAGGCGCTTGGAGCTAAAGAGACAATGCCCTTCTACCAGGATGATGGAAGAGTCTTTGGCAGCCTCTACTAAGGCGGCTTCCATCGCAATCCAATCTGTAGCATCAGGAGACTCCCAGTAGGACAACCACTGATTGCTATCCCAATCCCACCACCAGGCCCACTTCCTGGAATAGGATCCGAGGTCGAAGTCGTTTTGACAAATCAACGTGACAGACTCCTTCTCTTTCAGCGCTTCCAACAACTCCACGGCCAACGTGGACTTGCCAGCCGATGGAGCGCCTCTCCGAAATTTAGGAAAGCGCGCGCACAGCTTTGAGCAAAACATGAACAAACGATGTGAACGAGCAGCTCCAAACAAAGTTAGTGCATAGCCGAAAGAGTCGGTTGGCTAACGTTCGCTTTTGCTCGGGCCCAAGGCGCCTATGGTCGGAGGTTGTTGGGCGCCATTGTTGGGGCAACATGCTCATGCGATCACAGTTAGTGCCCAAGCCATGGTTTCGAAGGACTTATCACCTCGATCCATCATGTCGCTTTCTGCCCCGACCTGTGATACCGACCACCAGCGCCGTTTTGCTCAGCTGCGACCAGGTCGGCAGTTCCTCTTTCCTCCGCGCCCGGGGTTTCTCCGCAACCTTCACCTCCTCCTCTTCCTCATGGTTCTCCTGGCCCCGAGACGCGTACCCGGATGCGGTGCGGAACAAGGTTGTTGAGCGATTCCGGTTTTCTCGTAGCGACAGCTATGGGATCTGAGCCAAGTTTGGGATGTTCCAAGCAGGCTCACAGTAGGTTGCGTGGGATGAAATTTGGCGGATGCTGTTGGGGGTACTGTTGAGTACCTGTGATTCCAACACTTCGCCACCGGACACTGTGACAAGGGGAGTGAGCCCCTCCTTCTCTTTGGGCCGCCGCTCAATCGCCAAGCGCCGGGCCAGGAGCTCCGGATGGCCCCCATAAAGGTCCTAAGTCGGGGAGCAATCCACACTGAGTTTCCCAATGTTAAACGAAGCCCCGGAAGGCATTGTCAACTTCGTGAGCCAAGCCCTGAGGGTTGCAAATGGATGCAACACTGAACGTTTCCCTGCGATCCTCCCGGCGCTCCCAGAGGTACTCCACCGCTGCCTCTGGGCACTGCGAGCGCAGCAGCTCTTGGTCGCCATCGAAAAGCGCTTGGCGAATGCGGTGGGAACTCACCTGCGCAGTTGCTTCTTTGGTTGTTTCCGCACGCGTGCGCCTTTGTTTCGCAGTACTTTCAAAATCCACAAATTCCCCGAAAGTGCCCTTCATCTTGATCAAACCAGCTGATGCCCGAATACTATCTTATGCTCAGGCAAGTGCTGTCATGGTTGTTTCACCCCGAGATGTCAAACCCGACGCGTCTTTGGCCTGCGCTGGCAACTCCTCAACGTAAAACACGGCTGCGCCAGCTGCTTCAGAATTCTCCACGGTTTCCTGACGCCATGTGCTTGAACACCAACCATCAGGCAGCTGCAGCATCAGCCAATTTGCCCAGCCGTGGGGAACAAAGCAAACAAGTTTGCATTTCCTCTAGTTTGATGTGCTCTTCGGCGGTTCTACAACTGACCGGGAGAAATAAGGATAACCTGGACCAACCCTTGAACAGCTGGCCAATTGCGCAAACTCCGTTGGCTGTGGTGTCATGGTTTGATTAGGAATCCTCAGGTTGGACGCCAAAAAATACTGCTAATGCAACGGTCATGGCACATATGTCGCCAAAGAGCCGTTCTTTAAACCTGCTGGAACAGCAGACAGGCAAGCAGGCACGGAGACCAGAACAGAGACGGAGACAGAGACACGGCCAGAACCAGACACAGAAAGAAAAGAAAGAAGAGAAGCACGGACAAAAAATGACAGAGAAAGACAGAAAAAGAAGGCGAGACAGAGATAGAGAGAGAGAGAAGAAAAAGAAGAAAAAAAAGAGAAGAGAGAAGAGAGAAGAGAGAAGAGAGAAGAGAGAAGAGAGAAGAGAGAAGAGAGAAGAGAGAAGCGAGAGAGAGAGAGAGAGAGAATTATTGACAGACAGAGAAACACAGAGACAAACGAGAGGGAGAGAAAGAGAGGAAAAGTGAGCGGGAGAGAGAGAGACAGAGAGACAGAGAGACAGAGAGGGACAGACAGACAGACAGACAGACAGACAGACAGACAGACAGACAGACAGACAGACAGACAGACAGACAGACAGACAGACAGAGACAGACAGACAGAGACAGACAGACAGACAGACAGACAGACAGACAGACAGACAGACAGACAGACAGACAGACAGACAGACAGACAGACAGACAGACAGACAGACAGACAGACAGACAGACAGACAGACAGACAGACAGACAGACAGACAGACAGACAGACAGACAGACAGACAGACAGACAGACAGACAGACAGACAGACAGACAGACAGACAGACAGACAGACAGACAGACAGACAGACAGACAGACAGACAGACAGACAGACAGACAGAGAGACAGAGAGACAGAGAGACAGAGAGACAGACAGAGACAGACAGAGACAGACAGAGACAGAGAGACAGACAGACAGACAGACAGACAGACAGACAGACAGACAGACAGACAGACAGACAGACAGACAGACAGACAGACAGACAGACAGACAGACAGACAGACAGACAGACAGAGACAGACAGACAGACAGACAGACAGACAGACAGACAGACAGACAGACAGACAGACAGACAGACAGACAGACAGACAGACAGACAGACAGACAGACAGACAGACAGAGAGACAGAGAGACAGAGAGACTGAGAGACGCAAAAACACAGAAACAATGACATGAACACATAGACCACATACACACACATGTGACACACACACACACACAGTACATGAAGCCAAACATTTTCTACACTACACCCCCTTCGTACAACACCTAAGAACAAAAGGCCTTGACACGCGTGCCACGAGCCCATCGCCTTGACCAATCTGTTGTTGCAGCCGGCCCTGCCAACAACCACCATGGGTTGCATGAATTTGGAGCCATTCTTGCAGAGGCGAACCACGGTGTCAGCTCCCACGATGTTGAAGACTGATACCCCCGGCAGCTCTGCTTGCAGTTTTTGTATGAGCCGCCCGGCCGAGGGAAAGTCTGCACCCCGTCTGTCCGGCTTCAGCCAACCTCCCGGCACCTCGCTGCAAGCCAGTGATAGAGCGGCCATCCGGTGTTCATCGCTGATAGGATCTGCGTCTTTTTTCCTCCTCACATAGTCCATGTTGGTGATTGCCTTGGTTTTGAGCACACGCAACACAACTGCAAACAACCATACTTAGGCTTCCGACCATAAGGCCACCAATGATGGTGAAACCTGCTTGTTCTATTCGTAGTTTGGACTGCACCATCATTTCGATGTGGTGTTTGTGTACCTTGCAATGCGAAGCCGGCATCTTTCACTGTTCATGCACAATGCACACTGCACACCGCACAATACACGTCACCAGAAGCACACAAACCCAAAAAGACTGCCCTGTACAGTGAGGCCACTGGATTGAAAGAGCCATGATTCAAAAGGAGGGCTTGTTTCGGTTCACTGTCTTCAGCAGTAGACCCGTCTGTGGACGCCATATAAGTCCAATCCTGAGGCATGAGCAATATGCAATAATACCAATAGCCAAATGAAAGCAACAGAAAGAATACGGCATGAAAATCAAACGCTGACAAATCATGCCAACAAGGCCAAGACTCTGCTTCCTGGCAAAAATGGGTGTCTTGCTAAGTAGTCCATGCGAACTAGGCTTAAATGCCTGCGGCACGCGCCACACGTAATTCTGCACCTGCACTTCCTCTGCGACATGAGCCAAAACAAGAGCTCTCACCAGCGGTCAGAATGTCAAGGCTCGGACTGTTTGCTTTGTTGTTGCTCCTTGGAAGCATTTCGTGCCCGCGGAAGGTCCTGCCAGGCTCAATTGCAATCCACCAAAGCACTCCGCTTCACAAGAATTGTTGCAAACCAGCGGCGAATGGTCAATAATTGGAGGTTCAGGCAGGATTGCAGGCAGGCACCATGTTGTTTTGATTGCAAAGTTGGCATCCTCAAATGCTCAACCAAACACCAAAGTGGGTGAATGGCACCTCTCTTGTTATCCCATATTTGTTTCAAACACGGCTCATCTGGGCTTGTCCTCAGATTCAGCTTCTTTGCAGTGTCAATACGGGAGATCATTTTTGTTTGTTGATTACATTATTGCTTACTTAACCAAATCAGGATTTATTTGCTCAATGGTGTCCAACCACTCTTTGGTCGTAAGATTCTAAAACTGCAAAGGCCAAACCTTTTTTCCCGCAATTCAATGTGGCTCGGCTGTGAGGCCCTTGGCCAAAATTATACGATACCGACTGTTTCAGCCCCCCGCATAGGTCCTTGGCTGCCGCATGGGCGCTTTCCACGCCGCACAAAGCGCGCACACAACAGCGAGTCTTGCCCGACAGCGCTGCAGCATGCGCCAAGTGGAGACCTACCAAAGTGGCGTCCACTAGCACAAGGTCCAACTAGTGAATCCCAGTTTCCTGAGCGATAGAGACGGGAGGAGTGGAAGGACGAGAGGGGTTCAAAGATGAATGAAAAATGGTTGGAGAGAGAAAAAACACATCATATTCAGTGATCGAAACATGAGGTGCCGACTCACTGAAGCTACCTTGGATGCGCGAATGTGCACATGTTACTGGATTGAACCTTGCAATCGGCATCCGGAAAGAATTGCTTGCTAAAGCATGTTAAACATGGCCGGCATCAAAATCCGACACAGAAACAACCCATCAAACAATGTGTGTGTGTGTGTCGTGTTTGGGATTGCGATTTCATTGGTTTCTCTCTCCTCTCTTTTTTTTGTACTTGTTCTTGTTCTTTATTTTATGTTTATTTTCTTTCTTTCTCTCTCTCTCTCTCTCTCTCTTTCTCTCTCTTTTACACGTGGCTAAGGTTCACACAGCTGCGAGTCTCTCTGGTTCATCCCGATCTTTCTTTGCTTTTGCCTGAGAATATGTCTTTCAAAACTTGTCATGAAAAATGGACAATGCAAAAACAACACACAACACATCTGGGGGCTGGGCCACCGCAGAGTCGTGAAAGAATGGGCAAGCAGAGCCTGTCGGCGCGATCAAATTTTGTGCAACACAAACCTTCCCAAGTGCCTTTGTTGCATTTGCCCTTGGCCCAAAACCTGCACCACTGCAATCATTCGCACAATGTTATTGCACACACGCGCACATCTGCCACGTGCCTGCAGATATTTTGGTCCTTGGCCCACAGCACAACAAAATGCAAGTGGGCATGTGACCGAGTTTTGGACGGATGAGGTTGATGTGGTTGGCTGAGAAAGCAAATTTCCTAGCGCATGGAATTTGTATGAATTTGTGCACGCCCTGCCCCCCCCCTCGTTCAATCGGCCACCGTGCCGGCTATACCCTCAACGCAATAATTTGCAATTCCATGTGGTTTTCATCTGTGTGTGTCCTTGGTCAACCGCCTCCAAAGGTGGTTTGCGAAGCAATGCCCCAATCTCGGATGGCAATGATCAAATGCATTCGACAGCCTTACACCCTGGGAGCCCAGCAGATTTCGTTCGCAGCCGCTGGCTTAGCAAGGACCTGTTAAAATCCATTCCAAATCATTCCAATAGAAGTCCCATTGCCTAATATTTTGAGGAGGGGACACAAGGAAAATGCAGTTTGAAGCCTGAGAGGCAAATGCATGCATGCACCATGAGATTACTGAGTGCTGAACGTCTGGTTGAAGTTGCCATTCGGCCAAACGATCGAACACAGACCTGCGCAACAGCTGTGCACGCAGAACAAAATAGAAAGCGACTTGACAGGACAGGCGAGGGACTCGGCTGTTTGCAGGTCACCCACCTCATGCCATTGAGGTCATGGCTAATGCCACGTGACGCACTGACACTCTTATGAGCTTCTGACCCTGACACACCCGCGCAGCAAAGTGTTGACAAGCCCTGGATTTCGCGAGCAGGCACAGTGTGCGCACTGCACTGCACTTGTGAGCAGTCGAATCAAATCACGAACGGGCCTACCGCCAACTACGTATGCATCATTCCACATGCACCGAAAAACAAGGACATGCGGATGCACACAGGCGTGCAAACACGAGTGACATGGGTGCGCACAGGTGCAGCCCGGCTTGTGTGGCATTTGCCGGCTGAGCAGGTTGGACGCTATTAGTGGGGTTGAGGGTTGCACCTAGGATACGGCCTAGGTTCAGATACAGGCTGGCGTGGCATGCCGGGGGCGAAAGAGTGTCGTCCGGATGTTTTACTCCGAGTTTTCCGAATATGTCGGGAGGGATGCCGCACGTAGTCCAAGCCGAGGGACGCGGTACAGCCAACTTTGGGGCCTTTTTGGACGATGTCTACACTGAAGTCAACCAGCCGGATCGGGTGCAATGGGGACGCTATAGGCTGGATCAAGATGCGCTAAGATCTGGATAAGAGCAAGCCCTCAAAGGTCCCCATGCTGGGGGTTCATTGCAGAAACGGGCGACCTTAAATCGGAAATGCTGTGGCCTAAGATCGATTTGCAGAAGTTTGGGGTAGAGTTTTGGCATCATGCAGTCA